CACAGCACCAAACTGAAAGAGCTCCCAGTGACGATGCTGGAACACACTGAGCAACAAAATACATAAAATGGTATTGAGTTATAGCCTAAAGTGGAAAAGAGATTTCCTTGAGTCCATACTGATGTAAATAAATGATTGAATACATAAATTAATGAGGGAGAATCGATGACTCTACCACAGGATAATTCCAAATAACTTATGCAGATTTTGCATCCTCAAGGAGGCAGGGCTCTCCCTACTACCTAAGTGGGGGCTGTGTACTTTTTTCCAAAGAATACACTACAGGAAGGAAAAACAATGACTCTATAGGGAAGAAACCTGGTGCTCAAGGTTAACATCACATAGTGGTCAGTCATACTGATATTACCTACCCTTGATATGAAGGGATGAAAATGGCACCTTACCTCTGTGGTCTTCCTTCCCCAAACCTCTAACCCCAGTGCGCTTATGAGAAGACATGTCAGAGAGGTCTCATTTGAGGGACATTCTGCACAATACTTACCCAGTACACCTCAAAACCGGCCAAGTTATCAAGAACAAGGAAAATCTGAACAGCGCAAGGATATTAGATAAAAACTAAGGAAATCAGAATAAAGAATGGATGTCGGTTAATAATAATATGTCAGTATTGATTCGTGATTCTGACAGGGTACCATACTAACACAGATGTTAATCATTGGGAAAAGTGGGTGTAGATATATGGGAATTCTGTATTATTTTTATAATTTTTTTTCTGTAAATTTAAAACTATTCTGAAGTGAAAAGTTTTGTTTTTTTAAAAGCAAATGTTATTCTAGATACTGAAGGAAGACATCTTCAATCACATTAGTACTATTTGAAATTTGGGGCATTTCCTGGGGTACATACAGAGGGAAGAGTACTCCCATCTGAGTACTCTCATTTGAGGCACAGTTGCCTTTGTCATGTCCCGCCCATGTTCCTCAGTTGTACTACCCACCTGGCCGTTATGACTTGGAATCTGGTTCTTCGGCTTTATAAGCTTTACCCAGTTCTTGGGGAGTAAAGAAGAAAAGGGCAAAAGCTTACATAGTGGCCTTCCTCTGGGTGTGTTAGCTGAAAAGCTCAGACCTTCTACACAAATGCGCATAGTTCACACACACAGCCCGTGGCTGGCTTGCAACACCATGTCAAGAAGATGTCAACATAAGAATATCAACAACTAAAACCGGTGTCTATTTCTGGTAGATTTTACATTTTAGTATTGTTAAAATGCTCTTTGGAAAAAAAAGAAAGAAAAAGAAAACAACTCTCAGGAACAAATCTGATGGAAGAATCTGTGTTCGAATTGTTTTCTCCGGTTTTCAAAAGTGAGGATATTGAGTAATCTTTGATTTATAATAAATTTATATCCTTCTAGAGACAAATTTTCTGCACTATTCTATGTTATTTGTGAGGCTTTCTTAATTTCTACCACATCAGCTAAGGATGTTTAATAAATTTTAAGCAAAAGTTTAAAAAAATGCTCTTTGACTAAAACTGAGCCCACATATAAACCATTGTGGTGACAATTAAATTTTATTTATTTTCAACTAGAAGATTGGATTGGCAAATAATTGCTTTTCTTCACTTTGAGAAGCTTAACACATTTTATTTTTTATTTGAGTGGTTGTTTCTTTCCTTAATAAGAATATAATTATTAACATGTTGCTATCATTGTCCTTACAAGCCTGTTCTTCCCTAGAATGATTGGTTTTGATCTGGTCATTAGATGAAGGTCTGCAGGCAACAAAATGTAGGATTTCTTTGGTCTGGAAATGGATATTATTCAATTCTGTTCAAGCCCATTGACATTCATAGACTCCAATTATGTACAGCACTGTGCTGGGCCTAAAGTCATTGGCTTTACTCCAGTTTTCTGTCATTAGACATCAGCTTGTCTTTATTGAACCTGTAACGATGTGTTAATATTTGGTAGCAGCCTGACCTTACACAAAACATGCGATTTTACAGAAGACTCCTTGGAACAGAATATCTTTGGTCAAAGGAATGGATCTACTAAGTTTGAACCAAGAAGGTAGGCATGAAGAAAAGGGATTTCTGGGCAGGGCGATGGATCGTAGGTCTGAACTGGGGTGACTCCCTGTACTCTTCCAATTTCTTTTTATTTAGTGGAGAGTAAAAAGAACTTGACTAGGAAGAAGGAGACTCTAGCCTCGGCTTTACCTCTAGGTATCTGTTACATTAGGCTTCGTATTTTAAAAACATCTTTTTTTAGTTGTAGATGGACACAATAAATTATTTTATTTATTTATTTTTATGTGATGCTGAGGATGGAACCCAGTGCCTCATGAGTGCGAGGCAAGTGCTCTACCATTGAGACCCAGCCCCAGCTCAGGCTTTGTATGTTTTACTATGTGAAAAAAGAGAGAAACTCGTCTCAGTTCCTTCTGAGTCTTACGCTTTCTGCCCAAGCTAGCTGGGCCAAGTCGGTCCTGGTTGGTGTCTGCATCAATGAGGAAGCACTTCTCACAGTTCTTCAATGGGTTTTCTTTTCTCCCTGTCATTGTCAATGGATTTAAGGAAGGATTTCCAGAGTTGACACTGGAGTCCTGAGTTGTTTTTTCTTATTTTGCCCTGTTGTTTTGGCAGGTGACTGATTTCAAACTTGCCTGTTGGAACAATTTCCATCCATCCCTATAATGTCATTGGCAAGAGAAGTTTTGTGGTTTAGGGAAAGGAGCATGGGTTTTGCAGTCACCCTGGGATCAAATCCTGCCTTTATCATTTAACTAGAGCTGTGACATCCGAAAGTGATTTTTGAATCCTCTAAAAACCCAATATTCTAACTGACAAAATGTCACTAATAATCCTGACATCTCAGGGAAGGTGTAGAGATTAATTCAGATAACCAGATGAAGTGACTGTCACTTTTAAATGCTCAATAAAGGGAATACCCTTTCCTACCTTGCATAATGATGGGAGTTACATTTTCATTAGTGTGTTTGCACATGACATTTGGGCTACTGAGTGATTACTATTGCTCCTTGGTACTTTCAGGGGATTGAGTCCAGGCTCCCCCTCAGATGACAAAATCCACAGATGCCCAAGTCCATTATATAAAATGGCATAGTATTTGCATATAGCCTCTGCACATCCTCCTGAATACTTTAAGTCATCTCTAGATTACTTATAACATTGAATGTAATGTAAATGCACAGCCACAATTTTTTCTCCAAATATTTTCCATCCACTCTTGGTTGACTGGATGTGGAACCATGGTGATGAGGAGCTATTTATATATGTGACTGGGTGGGTTTTTCTCCTTCCTTATTTTCTCCTTCTGGGAAGAGCACACACCTGTCTAAAAGAACAGAAATAGGCGACAGCATCCTCATACATAGTAGATGCCCACAGGATGGAAGATGTGTGGAAGCTCTGAGTTTTTTCAGCTAACATACCCAGAGGAAGGCCACTATTTAAGCTTTCTACCTTTTCTTCTTTACTTCCCAAGAACTGGGTAAAAAAGCTGATAAAGCAGAAGAACCAGAGATTCCAACTCATAAGGCCAGATGGATAGCACAAATGAGGTACATGGGCAGGACATGACAAAGGCAACAGTGCCGTAGGATCCTTGGGTTTGGCACCCTTCCTTTGGCATGAGGATGCAACGCAGTGATGAGGGCGGGGGAAATGAGAGCCTGTCCCCTCAAGAGGGACAGCATTGCTCCATCTCAGGTAATTATGTAGTGAGATAATATGGGTTCTCTACTCTAGATCTTCCCATTTTTTCCAAGGGAACCTAGAAATAATAAACATATAAGATTTCTGATTTTTGATTATTGACAATTGAATTAATTGTCAATTGTTTAATTATAGGCCAATCCAAAAGATGACCCCCAGGTTCTAACCTCTGAACTGCAAGGACTGGGGCTGCAGGGTCACTGGTGAGGGGAGGGAGATAGGCGTCTAGAGAGTGGGAGAGGGAAAGCTGAGGAGCCAAGACAGATGGGCTGTCCTGAATCCAGCTCCCCTGTGAACCCTGTGTGGATTGGGATGTAGGACTTGAGTTGCAAGTAAAGGACTAATTAATGTGTGTGTGCTTGACCAACTTAACATGAGACTAACCGAAGCAAGGAAGGTCCTCATGGTGATTATATACTGCTGCGTTTACATGAATCTGAATTTTAGCAACCAAGGTTGTCCTTTCACTTTTGCAAACTACAGATTATAATTTGGTCCTATTTAAATTTTTCATGAAAGATATAATGCATCTATGTAAATAAGAGAGCAAATAAATTTTCTAAATGCTTTAATTTTTTTTTTTTGGCACAAATAGTTCTGCACCTCTCACATAGCTCTTGCTAGAAAAACAAGAGCTAGTGATATGTTTGTTAATGACATTTTAAAATTTGTGCTTTGGTATACAGAGGCAATAATGTTAGGTAAGTTAATAATAAATTAATGTTATAATAGTTGCCATATTAAAGAAAATGTATTAGTCTTAGCAAAACAAAAACAAACAAAAAGAAAAAAAAACACACAAACCAACGCCCACAATTAGTTTGGAAATAGGCAAGGTAGGCATATCAAAATCAGAAAAAAATTAGCTTCAGACAGCACTCAACTATATGCAATTTTTTGGTGAATAATATTCAGTTATAGGATGTAATATCTTGCACAGCACCTGATATATACACATTGACCTATACATATATAGCATCCCTAATCCAAAAATCCAAAATCCAAAATGCTCCAAAATCTAGAAATTCTTGAGCGTCAACATGACATCTGCAATTGGAAAATTCTACATCATGAAACTGTTTCAAGCCCCCAAAATTATTAAAAATATTGTATGAAATTACCTTCAGGCTAAGTGTATGAGGGATATATGAAACATAAAAGAATTTTGTGTTCAGATTTGGAGTCCATCCCCAAGATAGTCAACATGTATATGCAAATATTACAAAATCTAAAAAAAATCCAAAATTCAAAATACTTCTGATCCCAAGCATTTCAGATAAAGGATAATCAACCTATAGTAGACATTTGACAGCTAATTGCCGAATTTTATTACTTTTTAACAGTAATTGTCTTCAGTAATAATTTCTTAACCCAGATAAAACCCAGAAATTTTGGAGGGGGTTATTCCTTATAAAAGTCTATTCCTCTAGAGAAAATCAGCAATAGTAGAGAGAAAGGAAAGTGTGAGAATGTTCTAAAAAGTGTTTCCAATCAATTTGCTCAGGGAAGGATACCTGGCCCTCTGTGTTTAGAGTCCCTGCTGACAATGGTGCTGGCAGGATCCTGGCCTCCTTCTATCGCTCTATTTATTTTGGCTTCCCAGAGATTAGGTCTCAAACCTTTTGTGCCTGCTCAGAAGGACCTGTCAGGTGATATAAGTTTTTCCCTTTCAGAGCTGCGGAGAGGCTCTGGGCTATGGAGCCAGCCTGGTCTCAGTGACACCTCTGCCTGTTACTCCCTAGTCTCTGCCAACCCAGAAGCCTGTTTACAAATGTGTACAGATGACTACTCCTGGGTCCTTGTACTTTGCAAAGCTCCTTTCTCCCAGTGGGATATTACTAGGACACAGGCAGGCTGGAGAGGCTGTGGGAAGTTTTGGAGGTAGAAAAATCGGGTCCAGAAAGGGGTGCAGTAAGAAGAGGGGGTCCCTTTGGAGAACACCATAGCCCAAAGGCAGCCTTGAGTTGATTCCCATTAGGAACCAATGGTGGACTTTCTTCTTTGGTTCTTTGGCCCTTTTAGATTCTCCACCTGGAGCTGGGATGGTTCAGGAAAGAAACTAGCCTCAGGTGTGGCTTTTCATTTCTTTTTGCATCTAAACTTCAGCTTCCAGGCATCGCACTGTGGTTTTGGGTGGACTCTTGGGCTCCTCTGGATTTTTATTTGTTTTCTTTGATTCTTCATTAGGACTGCCATCATCGGCCTTCTCCTCCTTCACTAATTTGGTTTCAATCATTTCCTTCTGTTGATTCTTGTTTGTAAACGGAAAGGCCTTCACATACCTGCAAGCAGACGTAAAATGAAAGTGTGAGACTTCTGTGTAACCCGCATCACAATAGTTAACACCTCACCGGCAACGGTGCTTATTGGCACAGTCCACCAAATACCTTTATTTCAGAATGATGCTAAGGCACGCCCCAAAACATTAATTCCCCCCACTTTAACGGAGTCATTTAAATCAGATGGTATGTTCACAGGCCCAGCTTTAGGCTGGACTCTCAACTCTTCCAGGAAAAACAAGAACCTGAAAATCAAATGTAGCGTATAAATTTTCCCTAGATGTCAAACTTTCCTTTTTATATCCTGATTTTCAAAGGGACACCCATTGACCGGTGTCTACAGTCTGGACGACATGCCTATGCTGCAAGTTTAGGAAAGATAAGCTGGTAGGGAAGAGAGGCCAGATGAAGGAGAAAATTTATAGTAGTGCCGTCTCCGTTTTGACCAATAAAATGCCAATAACAACCTCAGAAAACGCAAGGTAGGGATGTGACAAAGACGACAAGGCCAGCAGTGTACCAACAATCTTACCTTTTGATGTAGCAAACTGCCAGACCAGCTGCAGCACCAAAGAAGAGAAGAGCAAGTACCAGCAGAGCCGTGGGAACACCTGGAGGAAACAGAGACAGCGAGCATTTCATGACACACATGATGTGGACAATAGGTAGTGCAGGAGACGAGCCTTCTCTCTGACCCTCGCCAGCCTCTTGGCTTCCTGCCTATAGATTCCTCAGCCTTCCCTCTCCGACTCGACTCTACGCAATTGCAGTTCAAAAGGTGGAGTTCATTTCCTAATGAACTCTAGTGACCCAATCTAGCTAACAAGTCTGCCTGACAAAGAGATGTCAGAAATTAATTAAGTAACAGGCAGTTAAGGTGATGATTTTTGAACATATAATAACACAGCAATTTGTTTTTATAAATCTCGAGTTCCCAACAGTGAAACTCTTTTATACTTGTGATCTGTAGTTTAATCATTAAGGTTCTTTACTACTCTAAAGTTCTATGCCCTTATGAAAACTGAATTTGGGTTGAGCTTCCATTTTTATCTGGCAGGTGCAAAGTGCCTAATCTGAAGCAGACTGCATTCTGTATGCTTTGTCTGTTATACATCAGCACACATAAACACAGAACATAGACACAAAAAGCTTTTACCTCCAAACCCAGCAGCTTCATTCTTGAAAGCTTTCTCCCCTTCAATAGAGGGTTCCGTTTCTGTAGACATGAAGCTAGTTTCCGTAACCAGCTCTGTGATGCAAATCAATTTTTTCCTCCGTGGAACAGAAGTGGTGGTTGGAGCAGGAGTAGTGGCAAGAACAGGTGTTGTGAATGTTTCTGAGTAGATGCTGTCACTGTCAGTGAACTCTGATGTGTATGGTGCAGTTTGAGTGTCAAACATGGGATCATCAGTGGTGATAATTTCTGGAACACACGAGTTGACCCAAATATCTGCCCAGAGAGGGAAAAATGAAACGAGAAGTAAGTTATTGCAACGCCTCCCAACTGTTCTTCCTCCCTCTAGTCTTACCACCCTCCAAACTGCAGCAGAAAGGTCTCACTAAAATGCAAATCTAATTATATCACTTCCTTCCTTAGCATCCTGCGGAGTCTGTCTCTACTCTGCATGGCTGTGCTCCATGGTCTTGCCCTGCTGACGTTGTAAGATTGATGTGCTCAGCTTTTCTCTCACGGTTCCTACCATACTAAAATTTCTTCAGCTCCTGACATGCTTTCTCCCACAGCCTAGCGTTCCCTTGAGCTTCCTTCACCCTTAACCCAGTAAGTCCCTAATTTTCAAATCTTCGAATATTCCAATAAAATTGATACAGATTGCAAATCATGATGTAGGGCTTATATTTATTATTATATTGATATTATAATTATTACATTAGAATGTGATTATGTTCGTCTTATTATTATAATATAATTATATTATATACTATGTTTGAGTTTTTATAGGTGTTCTTCATGTGGAATGATGGGACAAAACGGGTTCAGGCTCTCTGCCAGCTCTTTACTTACCTAACTCCTACCTATCCTTCAGGCCTCAGGTTGACCCTGACTTTCTTAGGTAGACTTGGGTACTAGATTGGATCTGCAAACATTTGTTCCTGTACCTCTTCTAGTTCTCCTTACACTGGTCCCCATTGGATTATGACCACCCCTGCAAGCAGGAACCCTGTCTTGCTTGGTCATCATGCTGTGTCCACTGTGCCTGGCCCAATACATATTTGATAAAATAGAAAGGAAAAACAATAGGAAAGAAAGAGTAGATAAGGAACCAGGACACACTTGTGATACAATTCAGGACAAGATCTGCTAAAACCAAATTGCTCTGTGCTCACAAAAAACAAAACAAAACTAAAACCCCAAAATATAAAAGGCAGGGGAGAGGGCCATGGGAGGCATGTGTATTTGTTCTCTAATCTGTTGAAAGTGGTAGAGAAGAAACTAATATTTGTTTGGTATTTGACTCTGAATCAACCATGGTACTAGGTGTTTAAATAGGTAACTCATTTAACAATTTTACCAAACCCTTATTTACACAGGAGATTACTGAAGTTGAAAGAAATTGAATAACTTGCTTGAAGTCACAGTTAGTAAATGACAGAGCCATGAAACATATTATAATATCAATTTGCATCTATTTTAAATCCCTGTTTTTTTTCAGAAGTGGATGGCATCAGTTGGAATGTTTCTATAGACAAAAAGCAATTCCATTAAGTTGATTTGCTTGAAAATTAAGTGAATTGCCAATCAAGTTCACGAACACAACTGATCAAACAATTTGACCACATATGCATTAAATTGTGTGCTATTTTTCTGTTCTACTTTAAAAATACCTCCATTTAAATCGACATCATCCTTGACCTTCTCTGCCTTGAACTTTTAATCCCATTTTGCATTCTTTAATCCCACTTCATTCTGAGGTTCTTTCCATGGAAAACGAACATTTCTGAATATCAGGGGGAAAACACTCAGCTCACCAGACTATGTTGGGGACTAGTATTAAATACAAACAAGGCATGGTTCTCACTTCCAGGATAAGAAAATAGGTGATCATCGAGGATTAAGGCATCTGGGCAGAGCATGGAGGATTGGTGTGTTCATAAAGCAAATATTTATGGAGCACCAACTCTGTGTTAGGTCCTGTTCTAGGTGCTAGGGACATGATGCAAATGAGTCCAAGTCCCTGTTCTTTAGGGGTGTGTAGGCTAATAAGTGAACAAATAAGCCAGAATTTCAGAGGATGGTCAATAGTGTAAAGAAAATGAGACAGGATGTGAATTCAACTGAGAAGGGTGGAGGAAGCGGGACAGATACTTTGGATGGAGTGATAAGAGAAGGTCTCTTGGGGAGGTGACACTCAAGCTGAGACCCAAATGATGAAAAACTGGCCAGTCATTGAAGATCTAGGGCAAAAACATTCAAAGTAAAGAGAACAGAAGGTACGAGAGCCTGGAGCTGAATGAACTCACCCATGGGGTGAATAAGGCAGCCTGTAAGGCTGAAAGAGAGCACAGCTCACCTAGGATGAAAGGCAGAATTGGATATCCCAGTCAGCAGGATCAGCATGATCCAAATATCCAGAAGCTGGACAGTATAGTCATGCTAGAAAAATAACAAGGAGTGCAGTGTGGCCAGAGTACATAGTGTATGTGGAAGAGGGAACTTGATAGGCCGGGAGCAGGGTAGAAGACTGGGAAGATAGGTGGGGCCATGGTATCAAGATTCATGATTACCATGTTAAAGCATTTGGACTTAATTCTGTAGGAGAGGGAATTTTCAACGGGGGTCCACCAACCTCCTAAATTTCATACAGAATTCTCATATAAGTCCACCTTTTATGTGCAAAAGCCCTCACAATGTACATTCTCAAATGGGAAATCATTCAAGCCTGTGATCAGAGAAGGAACATAGTTAGCAGTGGACGTGTGTGGGGGATGAAATGTAGAGGGAGTCAGCCCAATCCAGGGGCAAAGGAAGAGCTTGTTGCAATTGCACAGAAAAAGGAGAATCTAGAAATACCTGGAATCCTAAAACTTAGACCTTAGGAAGACTGGAAATAGCCCAAATGTCCATCAATGGGAGAGTGGCTGAATAAGCTATGCTATAAGCAGCAAGTAGAGTACTATGTAGCCATTAAAATGAGAAATATCTCTATGAACAGATATGAAGTAATTTCTAGAATTTAGGTGAAAAAAGTCATGTGAAGAGTAGTATATATAGTATATTAGTTTTTTTGTAAGAAAAAAAGGGGAAACAAAACACACACACACACACACACAAATACATGTATGCACATGTCTCCCCTTATACACGCAATCAGCAATAAACCAGAAACCCAAATGTTGAGTGGAAAGGTTAGGAGAAGACTTCTCTGACTATACTTTTAAAAAAGCATATTTTGGGCCATTGAACCATGTAAATGTTTTAATCTATTTTAAAAAACACAGGAAAAAAGTTGAACTCTAATTGATCACAAACAGATACAAGCTAGCTTACCTTATTTAAAAATGATAACATAACCTCATAAGAATAGTGATTTTTTTCCAAGTCACCTTTGTACATAAGTCACTGATTACATTCTTTGCAAGGATATCTTCTAAGGACTAAAAGGTTTGCAAAGAAATCTTAAATTCCACTCAGTAGGTTTGTTATTCCTGATGATGTTGGTTTTATAATTTTGAAACTTGTAGGATAATAAAATATATAGTTTACAAGGAACTAAGATTTTCAATACAGAAAAAAAGAGATACAAATATTTAAAAAGTGAACTAAAAAATACATTATTAAATTTGAGCTGGAACTATCAATATAAACTTATAATTTATATATGTTTATTTAAAATTATGAGTGTGTATATATGTGTATATACGTATATGTATATATATTTGTGTGTACATTATATATATATGTATACATATATGTGTATATATGTGTATATGTATGACATTCCTAGCTACTCATTCAAAAAGGACCAAGAAGCAATGAAAACTTTAGTAGTAATGAGAACAACCTGCATGTAGATCTTGGTTTCTAATTAACATTCTCCACTAAAAAGAACCAGGGCTCTTTGTAGAAATGAGTAGCTGTTTTCACATTTGGGACAGAGAAAGTACAAAGTGAGCCTGTCATAGTATCAGGGAGCAAGGAATTACTCAAAAAATAATAGGATAAGCTTGGCGGTACAGGGGCACTTGTCTGTAATCCTAGGGACTCAGGAAGTTGAGGCAGGAGGATTGCATATTTGAGGTCAGCCTGGGCAACATAGTGAGACCCTGTTTCAAAATAAAAAGGGCTGGGGATGTAGGCCAGAGGTGGAGCACCCTGAGTTCAATCCCCAGTATAGCAAAAAAAATAAAATAAATAAATAAATATATTAGAAAAAATAGGATAGAGGACACAATAGTGAACTAGAAGGTGCTCACACTTGCCAGAATTGGGACAATTGAACATCCATAAGAATAATAATTGTAAGATTGACTATAACATTGAGAATAATGTGTCATGGTAGTATAAGTTGGAGAGAGAAAGTGCATGTAAGTATCTGTGTGTGTGTGAGAGAGAGTTCTTCCTCTTAGGGAGTTCTCCTTTTCTGTGTGTGTGGTACTAGGAATTGAATCAAGGCGTGCTTTACCACTGAGCCATGTCCCATGCACTTTTTAAAAAAATTTTAAGATAGGTTCTCACTAAGTTGTCCAGGTTGACTTTGACCTTGCAATCCTCCTTGCCTCAGTCTCCAGAGTAGCTGGGATTATAGGCGTGTATCACACACCCAATGAGATTCTTCTTTATCAAAGATGCCAGCTAATAAATGTAGAAGGAAGGATAGATTTAGAAAAATCATCATTTTCCAGCCCCCTACATAATAACTGATTCCAGCAAAGCTCATCAATGATTGGTTAAACTGTTAGGTAAAAGGCAGTTTGTGGGTCCACCTATTTTCGTGGTGCAAAAATATCACATTATAGATTATCTATTAATTGCAAAAGGGAAGACATATCATTATAATTCCATTAGAGGGAACTGGCAGTCACGATCTTAATTAAATGATCAAAGCATAATTTAAAAATGGGACATAATTACATTAAGTGCCTTTTATTGTGATGTGAACCAAAATACACAATATGATAATATCTTCTATAAAATATGTTTGCCAAAAAGTATTGAATATGAGTCTAATCAAGCCTATTGGCTTAACAGATGCCAGCTAACGAATGTAGAAGGAAGGATGGATGGATGGATGCAGGAACCAAGGGGATGAGGAAACAAGTTAAAAGAAACCATGGGTAAACAGACGAATCCAAGTCAGAGGCCTGGGTTTCATACTGTCACGTTGACAGCTGGCGGGAAGGCAAGGCAGCTAAACGGCAAGGCTGTTTGACAGGCCTGGGCTGGACACGAGACAAGCAGGCATGTCAATGGCCAATTCCCTAGCCAACCATGACAGGCTGACGAGACAGAGGACAGAAGGATGGTGGTGAAAAAATGTTGGAAGAAGACCTGTGCTCCAGCCGGGCTCTGCCACTAACTGCAGATTTGTGCTGCCCCTAGTCTGAACCACGGTCATTTCATCCATGATGTAAGGGAACTGGACAAGGTTCCCTGAGGGCCTTTCCCAGGTTCAGGGAACTAACTGCTTGTCTTCCCTACTGCCTTTCTGGGGTTTTGCTTATGTTGGTTGGTGAACATTTATCTCATGGAACTTAGGGAATGAATTCAAAATCTATCCTGTATGGCACCACTCAGCACCTAATCTGAGGGTCAACCATCTGAGTATGTGTGAAAAGTAATGGGCCAGACAGTGGTTCCTAGGGCAATTGAGAGCAAGTAGGGATTTAAGGGGAAATGCTCTGAGAATTGACTACTAGACTGGTTGGGATTCAATTCCTTCTGTCATTAAATGGAGATTGTGTTTGTTCTTAAAAATGTCAAACGTTGCATCTGCATTTCCTCTCCTCTAAAAGAGTGTGGAACAGTGGAAAGAGCAAGGTGTCAGAGTTAGACCTGAGTTTGAACCTTTATAGGGGTGAGACTGCTATGGTTTGAATGTGGTTGGAGAGAATCCCCAAAGATTCACGTGTTGGAAGCTTGGTCTTCAGTGTGATGATGTTAAGAGGTGGTGGGTCGTTTAAGAGGCGGAGCCTGGTGAGAGGTCATTAAGGGTAATAGCCTTTTAAAGGATCAGATACAGTTCTCCTAGGAACCTGGTAGAGAGGGTTGCCATCCTGGATCAGGCTCTGGCTTGCAGGCTTGTCATTTGATCTCTCTCTCTCACACAGGCATTCCCACCATTGGGATGCCATTCTCTACAAAGAATTCCCTGAGCTGAACTGATGCTGGCAACATGTCCTTGAATCTACAGAACTGTGAGCTAAATAACCTCCTTTCTTTATAAAGTACTCAGCTTCGGGTATTTCATTACAGTAACAGAAAATTACTAATACAGAGACTTTAGAGATGTTTTTATGTCCTCTGGGTTGAATTTCTGTATCCTGTAACTGAGGATGTTAAAACCTTCACAGGGCAGCTGTGGAGGTTCAGAGACAACTAACCTGCATAATGCTTCATCCACAGTGGATGGGTCACATACATGTGACATTTGGTTCCTTCCCTTCTTCCTGTTTATCTTATAGGAAGCAGGGGTGGTAGAGATAATAATTGAGTCTCCTTGGATGCTCTATTCTTAGACTGCCTTTCAGTCATATTTTCCCTAATTTTTTGCTCTGGGAGGCACACTGCCCCCATGAGCCCAGTCGAAGACAGTCTTAGGAGAATTGGCTGACCATTGCTATGGCTGCTTCTACTGCTGCTCAGGGTTACTCTTCCCAAACAGGCCACAGAGCTGTAGATACCCATAAAGGACATGCCACATAGAGAGGCTGCAGGGTGGACTCACCAGATGAGTTGTGACAATAGGCCCTGAACGTCTGGCTAACCGGAACTTTCCAACTCAGGACGCCTATCCCATTCTTCCCGCACTTGGGGTTCGGGAGAATCCGAGGGATGACCGTGTACCCTTCTCCAACCCATCCATAACTGGAAAAGAACACACGCATTGAATGGCCAAAGGATTAGGAAGCACCATGTCTAGTGCCGAATAAGAACACAGCGTCAAAGGACTCCAGCAGCATTAGTGAATCTAGTCGTTCCTCACCTGCAGGTCTCAAAGCCAGACTTCCATGCTGCTTCCACCTGGTCTTTGCTGGCCAAAGTTAGTCCCAGCAGCCTGCAGGCCTCCTTGGCTTCTGTGAAGTTCATCTGCCGGTGTACCTTTTTGTTCACGAGGGTGACCCCCAGAATTCTGCACGGCAGTGAGATGGAAAGCTCTGCAGGGAAATCACATAGGTGCTCAGTGCATTGCCCTTGCCCCACACCTTAGGCTCTCCTTCTCGCAAGAGAATTGTTACGGTGGTGTGGCAGTAGGTCAGGGGGCTGGGATTGAATTTAGAAATAACAGGACACAGGCCAAGAATTTCCTACAAGGACAGCCTGCTGGGTTAGATGGATGCTTGCTCTGGTTCAAGCTGCAAATCTCACCAGATCCAAATCCATCCGATCCATCTCTATCAAGGTACCTCATTCATTGCATGGGGACTTTGGCTGCTAGCTCCTGGGGTGTGGTCTAGGTAATAGAGCTGCTGCCAATCTTTTTGGACTCTGTAAAATGAAGCCTCTGAGGCTTTGGGAAAGACCGAATTCAGGCCTTGGGTTAATAGAATAATTATTAATATTAGCAATGCTCCCAATCAATGTAGTTGGGAACCCACTATTTCTGAAATAGACTGAAAATGTTGCGTTCATTTTAACAGAATGTGGGCTCTCTGGGTTCCAGGTCTTCTCTGACCATTGGGGGGCAGGCTTACTCAGAAGTTCCTGGAGTTCCTGGGCAATAAATCTTGCATGGCAGAGAAACTAAATAAAGGAAATAGAATTTTAGAGTCAGACCTGGGCTTGGAACTAGTCTATGCTTCTTGCTAGCTCTGTGACTTCAGCCTAATTACTTTGTGTCTTCGAGCTTCAGATTCCTTATTTATAATGTGGACTGTTACAGGATCTACTGGATAGGGTAGTGAGAATCACGTGAATGAATTTCTAATAAAAATGTTTAGCATAGTGCCTACCATATAGTAGGTACTGATATGTAATCATAGATAACGTCACAGTTATGTCATCTTCAAAGCATTTGGGTTTTAGTCTGCTTAATAATTGATCTTCCTGGGGCAGCTGAGGCAGATGAACTGTTAAGATGTAGCTAATATTTTTACCCAAAATCTAATGGACTTGGGAACTGATTTGACCCTTTCCCTTTAGGTTCTTGGATTTATAGACCATATAAAATTTAACATGTTGCACTATATTCAAGTACATTATTCCTATTGGGCTTCATCGAAAAAAGGCATCAAAGGGCATTTTAATCTCCCAAGTAATTGGTTGTTCAGAGAGCTCTATGTGGTGGATGCAGAAATGCCTCAGTCACTTTCTAGGTTGGTATTTAAAGGAAATTTCTTATTGTAAACATAGAAGGAACATCTCTAAGTCCTTTGTGTGATCTTGCTGTGTTCTGAAGCAGGGGCTAGAGGAAGGGATGTGTATTTGCAAGTGGCCTTGTTTGCATCCAGATTCTGCTGTCACCAAGAGAGACCAGAAAGTCAATACCCTAATACCAATGTTTGTGCCTGGGGCCACAAAGCGACCTATGACTGTATGCACTGATGTTCATGCCTATGCCAATGCTGATATTAATACTAAAATCAATAGTAATTCCCACACCTATCATCTGTTGATATTATTCTGTGCTAAACCCTGCCTCTTTTAAGAGAAAACTTAAAACTTGTGGGTCTTTTCTAAACCCAAGGACATAAGAAACTTGGTGGCAGATTCTGCCTTCCACTTTACTGCAGGGAGACCGACAAATACACATACACAGACAGTTGTCCACTTGTCCTTGAATTTGGCTCCTTTGGCTTATAAGCTTGCTATTGCTCAGACATCTTATCATCTTATCATTGCTTCTTTGGAAATTGACTTCAGAGACACTCTTTGTTACACTATAAAGTGGTCTTGCTACTATTTAGAGTAATGCTATTATTTAGAGTCATGATAGACCTATTCTGTGGGAATAGACCTGGCTTTAGAAATTTCTTCTGTTATTAATTTGTCCTTAGAACCTTGGACAAGTTAGTGTTGTTGTCTGTAAAATGGAGATGGCTACATTATCCCAGGATTTTTATTTGGAATTAAATGAGATAACTTGTACCTCACAAAGACTGGATCCATAGAAAGCAATCAACAAATATTAAGCAATTTCATGCTTTCCTATTTCATTTAGATATAAAAATAGGGAGCTGGAATCTAAGGGGCACTCTGCTAGCCCTTCCTTAGATATTTCTTAGAAAACAGTAAAAATGTACCTGGAAATCAGAGCTGATTTCAACCCCAAGTTTTAGCATTTACCTCCTGCATAACATTTGGTGGGACTGCTGTTTATTTATTCATAAAATGTGTTCTTGAGAGGATTAAATGAAGCCTTCTATAATACATAATAGACCTTCAGAAAAGTTTCCATCACCATCACTCACCTTCATCACCTCCTGATTCCACAGTTGTGGTTAAGGTACTTTCAGTTGCTTCCAAACAGTTAATTTCCTTAGGAAAATTTTGTCATCATTGAGGACGGTGCACAGAGTGCAATGGAGTCATTGTTTTAGCGTGATTTCCCAAACAGTTGGAATAATGGCGGGATTGTGGGGAAAAGTGAAGTCTCCCCAGGGCAATTTCAGAAAGGACCAAGCTTATTTAAAAGTAACATTTTTCTAGGAGCTATGGCATATGCCTGTAATCTCAGCAGCTTGGGAGGCTGAGACAGGAGAATAGTGAGTTCAAAGCCATCCTCAGCAATAGTGAGATGCTTAGCAGCTTAGTGAGACCCTGAATCTAAAACACAAAATATGGCTAGGGATGTGGTTCAGCRGCCAAGTGCCCCTGAGTTCCATCCCCGGTACCCTCTCCCACCAAAAAAAAAAAAAAAAGTAAAATTTCTGTTGGGCTCAGTGTCACAAGCCTGTAATCCCAGTGATTTGGGAGGCTGAGGTAGGAGAATCACAAGTTTGAGGCCAGCCTAGGTTACTTAGTGAGCTATAAAAAATAAAAAAGAGCTGGGTATATGGCTGAGTGATAAAGCACCTCTGGGCTCAAGTCCCAGTATCTAAATTAATAAAAGTAACTGTTCTGGTGAGGCATGGTGGTGCAAGCCTGTAATACAGGCAACCCAGGAGGCTGAAGCAGGAGGATCACAAGTTCAAGTCCAGCCTCAGCAACTTAGTAGGCCATAAGTTCCTTAGTGAGACTCTGTCTTAAAATTTAAAAAAAGGGGCTGATGATGTGGCTCACTGGTAAAGCAACCCTGGGTTCAATACTCAGTACAATACAAAAAGATCCCAAGTAAACGTTCTGATATTTGGGAGGCAGGGGCAAATATAAATCATAGAACCCTAAACTCCCTTATGAAATTAAAGTACAATATATGAGTCAATTCCAAGTGTCTCTCACAGTTATATTTTATATCTTGTGGCATCTTCCAACAGAGGAAAAAACTATTTTCCCTTTAATACAAGTGCTCAGATTTTCATTTGCCCAGAGCTGTAATAAGTGATTTGTGGTTACAATTTTTTGCCTACAGTGCAGAATGAAATTTCCATTTAGACATCCCAAAAGCCCAGAAATCACTTTAAGTCATTCCTTTGGAAGGGAGCTGACGGTGAATTTTTAAACTTACATTTTCACAAAATTTTTTTCAGTTAATTTCCCGCATATTAAATTCAATGCATATTAATACATAGTATTTATGTATAGCATGATGTACTTGGAATTAAAATAATTATGCCAATACTTCTAAAAACACAAAATAGGACAATACTTAGTGACAGTTACCCATTTTTTAGTAATTGCTTCAAATTTTCTATAGTCATAGTTTGCTTCTTGAATGAAACACTTTTAAGAACAAATGACTTCTCCTCCATGTTTTATTTATACATATTGTTATTAAAATATGCCATAACCAAAATAACATTCAAAGGCAAACATAATCATGTTGGTGAAGTTGACAATATGGTCAATCCCTCACTTCTGGCTGAGCAATCCTACCAATTAGATCTTCTGTGACCCCTGAGTGTGGCCCTCATTCCCAGTCAGTAGTCCTTAGTCAAGAGCCCAGTGGGCTTAGGACAGTTTCCAAGACCTTGCCTCGCTTCTGTTTGGAAACCTGGTAAGAAACCTACCTTGTACTCTGACAGAGCCTTGGGCCAGAAACCTCAAGGTCCAGATGGAGGCAAGAAGCAACACCAGGCTGAAGCACTTGGCCATTGTGCAAACCCCTCAGAGCCAGGGAAGCACTGCAGGTGACCACTGGCAGCAAGGGAGGCAGCAGCTCAATCACCAGGCTGGATGGAGGATTCTGGAAATATGTTGAGGCCACTGCTCCACTTCATAGCTGAGACATCCGGATTTCCCTGCTTTCAAGCTCCTGACTTGTCAAGGCCACTGGGGGAAATGAGTGACGTCCTTTGAATGTCCAGGCTGTACTTTGTGGATGGCTTTCTGGAAAATTTAGCTAATGCTGACTCAGAAAACACACGAATGAGGAAGGCAGAGAGCACAGGGTGAGCTACCGACGGTTTTCCTAATTCCCATGTTCCCTGCCACTTGCCCTCCCCTGTGGGCTCAGTTCTCACACCATTCGTTGTTATTGCCGTGGAGCCCATTCATTCACACACTCATAGGAATGTGTCTGTCAGAAGGAGATTGAGCGTGGGTGTGCTTCTTTCCTCTCAGTGATTTTTTTTCCCCTCAGCAGCATCGCCTTATAATGTGTCGGGGGGGAAATGATGAAAGTAAATGCCCACTTAAATCCCATGCCTTCCTTGGGGACTTCTTTTATACATTGGAAATCTCAACGCCACTACAGGGGATTCCTTTTTCAAAGAAATCAGACACACATAAAAATTCATATCGGTGAAACACAACTAGGGGGCAATTTACAAAGTTAGACGTTTTTACACTTCACAAAAGAATTTTTTGACTTTACCATAGTGATCACCACAGCAGTTCTTTATATAACTTTGCTTTCTCTTGAATAATTTCTATTATATACTGGTGGACCAAATTCTAATTTAGACTCTCCCTTCTCACTTGAGGAATGTGAGGGGTATTTGTTCTGTATTTAAGTGAGAGTACTCGATGTTTTCCCAGCAGTTTTCAGAGGTTTGCCCTCCATGGCAATTATGAAGTTTTGACTTGCAAGCAATGCCTTGAGCAAAAGTTCATAACTTTTCTCCAAAATGAATGTCTTTTATATGAAGGGTATGGATGACAAGTTCTTTTCTATAGAAGTGGTACTGGCCATGAAGTTAGATATTTGTGTGCAAAAAAATAAATAAATAAATAATGAAAAAAGAATCTGTTCTGCACAAATGTGGGCAGCTTCCAAGAGACCAGGGAAATTGCCCCTAAATATCTGCAATATAGACTCATTCCTCAGGTGAGCACAAGTCCTAGGTTCCTGGTACCTAGAAAACATATGTTCCTCTCATTGCATTGGCAGGTAGACAGGTAAAGAGAGAATCATGACCTCTTCAGAATTGTCCTTAACATCCAGCACCATGCCTAGAAAAATAGCTAGTTTTTAAGAATTTGTTAAATTGTTACCAAAAGGGAAAAGGAAATAAAATAGTAAGGGGAAAAAATGAATTATGCAGGGTAGGCATGGGTGAAATAGCTTATGAGAAATGAGAAGACACTTGATTCCCCCTGCCCCATGTTTTATCTGTGCATTATAGTTATACATAATGATGGGATTGTTGTTAAATATTAGAATGTGCATACAATATAACAATGTCATTTGCCTGTAACACTCTGCAGTATTTCCCCCTTTTCTTCCCTCCTCCTGCCCCCACCCCGTTTCCTTTCCTCCACTATCTCTCTTCGATTTTCCTGAGACATCCCCCACCCCGTCTTTCTTTTCCTTCCTCCTCTCTAACTTCCTCATATGAGAGGAAACATATAACTCTTAATCTTCTGAGTTTGACTTATTTTATTTAACATAATGATCTCAAATTCTGTCCAATTTCCTGCAAAATACATAATTTCGTTTTTCTTTTTGGCTGAATAAAACTCCATTGTGTATATAAATTACATTTCCTTGACCCATTCATCTGTGGAGGGACACCTAGGCTGGTTCCATAATTTGGTTTTTGGAAGACACTTGATTTTTGAAACAAATATCCAGAAAGGTAATTATTGGATAAAGGGAGTCTGCATAATTGTGCTGATGCTTAATCATCAGTTTCCAGAAAGGGGAAAAATATATATATATCTCCATTGAGAGAAGTTAAGCTGCCATTGGGAGGTAATTGGAAATTCTTTGTCAGAACTTGCTGCCTCTCTTGTTAAGTGAGAATACGTTCAGTCTGTTTCTAGATGTCCCACTTATGGTAAGTTCTGAAAGAATTTGTTGTCAAGAGCTAAAAAGCTCAAGTGGAGAGGCATAAAGAAAATGTTGCCAGAGAAGCTCTCTTCACCATTTTGAGAGAGAGTGTTCAGGAAAGGAAATAGAACCAGCAGCACTGTCTACTTGTAGGCAGAAGTTTACACTGTCATCAAGGAGAATCCATAAAGAAGAAAGTTGCCCAATTAGATGTGCAAAATAAAGGAAAATAAAAAGGACAACCACTAAGTTTCAAAGGAAAGCAGGAAATACAGAATACCCAGGCCGATTTTCTTATTCTCTCCATATGGAAAACAAGAGTAAAAGTCTGTAGGTCACCAGACCACAAAGTGCCACAGCCAGGCCTGATAGGGAAGACTGAGCCCATCCCAGAGGTCATGGACTTGGAGCCAGATGAGACCTTCAATTACCTATTTAATCTGACACATGAAAATACTAATTTAAACAGTAGAAAATGAGATGTGACACAAAGAAGTACTGGTATGACCCAGAGTACTGGATCTAGGGTAATATCTTAATTTTAGTTTAAGTTCTAACACTCACAATCTATGTAACCTTGAGTAAGTCAATAACTTTTCTCTGAGCCTCAGTTTGTCATCTGTCAAAGAAAGAAACTGAATTATATGAACTTGGAAATAACACAGTAATATAATTCTAAGGTACTTGATATTACAAGGATCATTAAAAAATGTATTAGCCAGGCACAGTGGTGCACACCTGTAATCCCTGTAATTAGCTGGAGAAGCTGAGGTGGGAGGATCACAAATTCAAAACCAGCTTCAGCAACTTAGTGTAGTCCTAAGCAATTTAGGAGATCCTCAGTGGTTAAATGTCCCTGGGTTCAATCCCTAGTATCAAAAAAAAAAAAAAAAAAAAAAAAAAGCATTAGTGTAGTCTAACTGCTGTAACAAACATCCCCAAATCTCAATGGCTTAATAAATTAAGAATTTTTTTTCATGTCACAATCCAATGGCTGATACATGGTGATGGTGGTAACGTTGGGTGTCTGCTTGGTGGAGAGATACTCCCACACAGTTATTTAGAGGCTGAAGGTCCTGCCAACAGTCTTTGAGTAGCTCTATCACCTAGTAGTACTTCTGGGTTTTCTCCAAGATCTTTACATAGAGCCAGCAACCAAAGAAAGAGAGTGCAGAGGATGGTGCTGGAAATTGTTTTAGGTCGTAGGCCTGGGATATATAATTTCCACCAATAGTCCATTGGCCAAAAGTTTGTAACATGTTGTACCTAACTGCAAAGGAGTTCTATCTAGCTATGTGCTCAGGAGTAAAAGGAAAAACAATTTAGTGAACAGAGAGGTCTCTGCTACAGTTGGTTCTTCCGATCACCTAATATTGGCTTTGCTGTTCCTCCCCCCATGGAGAATACGGTACTCTAGTCTCAAAGGAGGAAATCCAAGGTTATAGCCTGCTCAAAGTACACGATATCTGTTATGCTCAGTCTTCCCTATCAGGTTTGGCAGTGGCACTTTGCTGTCTGGTGACCTATGGACTAAGCAAGTTATATACTACCCCTGTGCCCCAATGTGATTGTAAAACAGGATGGCCTCAATAAAATTTCCCAGGGGTGAAGGGAAGAATGGGAGTCACAGCAGTCAGCAGGCCATAGTATTCTGGACTACCAATGAAGGTATACTATCAAGGTCACTTTTATAGGCTGGATGTGATTTGAATGTTCCCCAAGGATCCATTGTGATTAAAGGCTTGGTCTCCAGGATGTACTATTTTGGGAAGTAGTGAGTCCCTTGGGAGGTCCTTAGGACATTGGGTATGTAAGGTATTTCTCATGCAACGCCTTTGGGTAGTTCTCCTGAGCCGGTTGTTACGTAAGAAGCAAGCCTGGCCCTGCCCGTCCTTTCTCTCTGCTTCTTGGACAGACATGCTCCAACACACACTCTTGCCATTGCCACCTGCCATTCACCAAGAGGTCTCCACCAGAAATAAGCTTACGTAGGCACCATGCCCTTAAGCCTCCAGCACTGTGAGCTAAATAAACTTTCTTCATAAGTAGTCTGTGTCAGATTTTTCATTATGATGGTGAAAAGTGCATTAACACAGTCATATCAGTTTTCTATTGCTGCATAACAAATCACTACAGATTTAGAAGCTTAAAGCAACACCCAGTTATTATCTCATAGTTCCTGTGGCTCAAAGTCTGGGTGGGCTATAGCTGAGCTCTGCTCTGGTTCTCACCAGACTGAAATCAAGATATCAGCTGGGGTTGGCTCTTACTGGAGATGCTGGGGAAGAATCCACTTCTAAATTCATTCAAGTTGATGGAAGAATTCATTTCTTTGAGTTTATAGAAATAAGATCCTGATTTCCCAGAGGCTCTTCAGTTTCAAAACAGTGATTTTTTTTTTTTTAGCTTGCAGAATTGAAGGAGTTTTTCAGTCCTTCTCATCTCTCCAATTTCCACTCCTAAACAGAGCAAGCTCTCTGCTTTGAAAGGCTCATGTAACTACACTGAGCTCACCTGTATAATCTTCTATGTTAGGTTCAACTTACCATATAATGTGAAAGTTACGACATAACTTAAAGAGTTATATCTCATTTTCAAATGCTCTAGGGATTGGAGTGGGGCATCTTTGGGAACCCATTTTAGAAATTCTGCCTACCACCGTGACCTGCCCTTGATTAGCTCCCGATTCTACTTTGAAACTCCAGTGTCCACTGATCTCTGTGGCCCTTGTTTTCTTTCTAGGAGGCCTTTCATCATATATCTTTATTGGCCATATTTGAAGCAGCTATTATGGAGCACACCTTCTCACTGGCCTCAGCACTGGATCTCAATGGTGGTTTTCTGAAGAGGCTTTCAGTTCTGGCTTATGTTTCTTTGTAAATATGATTCCCTCACAAATATAGATTTATGATCTATTTGCTTCCATGTGCCAATAATCATAGCCCAAATCCTCTGTCAGGATTATTTTCTAAATCTGTTTCTGCTTTACCTGTCCCAATACTTTCTTGTGGCTAACCTAACTTTGTTTGGAACCACTAATGGGAGAGCCACATCCTGCATCTATTCTTTTCCATAAGGCTAAGTT